GAGAAGAGGGGAGGTGGTGTCGCTATATACCTACGAAAAAATATTCCTTATAAAGTTGTTCTATCTTCCCCCTCCCCATTTTCTGCCACTGCTGAGTTTTTATTTCTAGAAATAAACATTATGGGTGCTAGGGCAGTTTTAAGTGTTGTATATTGTCCTCCTTCTGTGGATTATTTTACCTCACTTGAGACGGCTCTTGACACCATTGGATCTGAGTACATACATTGCATGATAATGGGTGATTTCAATACTGATTTGTTAAAAAATACTTCTCGCTCCCAAAAACTTCGATCAATCATTGAATGAGTCGAACTCTGCATTCTCCCGTTGGCGGCAACTCATAGAAATACTGACACTGATGATTCGTTGATTGACCTCATTATTACTTCCTCTTCTGATCGCGTGATTCAGTTTGGGCAGCTCTCTGCTCCTTGTTTCTCACGTCACGACTTGATTTATTTTTCATATAAACTTAAACCTCCAAAACAGAAACCAATTTTTCTGCAGTTACGCAATTTTTCAAGAATAAATATTGAGAGTCTCAGGAGAGACGCATCTTCAATTGATTTTGGCCCTTTGGTGGCAGCTTCTAACGTCGATGATAAAATATCCTTTCTAAATAATAGCATCCTGAATCTGTATAATACTCATGCTCCGGTACATTATGTAAAAGTTAAGCGTTCTCCTGCTCCCTGGATGAATAAAGGGGTACAAGTGGCAATGGCACGACGAGATCGGGCTTTCCAGAAGTTTAAAAAGAATCGCTCAGAAAAAATTTGGTCTAACTTTAAAACGCTAAGAAACAGATGCAATCAGGTGGTACGAAATGCTAAACGCCGCTACATTCATGACAAAATAACTAATTCTTCGTCCACTGATTTGTGGAAATTCCTGAAGTCTATCGGAATTAATAATGCTAATTCTCCGGAATATGGCGCCTCTCTCAATTTGGATGACATTAATCGTCACTTTGTTTCTATTACTTCATTGGACCCTCAAGTCCGTTCTCAAACTATTGCTTCTATAGAATCAATGCAGCCTCTCCGGATCCCTGACTTTTGTTTCTCCCCTGTTACTCAGGATGAAATTAAAAAAGCTCTGTTAGCCATTAAATCCAAGGCTGTGGGTTTTGATGAAATTAGTAAGCAAATGGTGTCCATGATTCTTGAGTACCTTATTCCAGCTATAACACACATTATAAATTATTCTCTGGACTCAGGTCAATACCCTTCTGCATGGAAAAAGGCTTTTGTAAGACCTCTTCCTAAAATACCTAATCCTGTTTTCCCTAACCATTTTCGTCCTATTTCAATTCTCCCATACCTCTCTAAAGTTCTGGAAGCCTGTGTTTTTAAGCAAATATCTGTATTCGCTGCAAAACATAACCTGCTGAATGAATTTCAATCGGGGTTTCGCTCAGGTCACAGTACTACTACTTCGCTTATCAAAGTCACAGACGATATAAGAAAGTGCTAAGATGAGCAAAAATTAACAGTGGTGGTGCTTATTGACTTTTCAAACGCTTTCAACACAGTGGATCATGGTATCCTCCTATCCATCCTTAAACACCTTAAATTTTCATCCCCAGCCTTGGAATGGTTTTCTTCTTATATTCGCGGTCGCCAGCAATCGGTTCGCTCAGGTCAGCGGTTTTCTGCATGGGCTGAAATTGCATCTGGTGTGCCGCAAGGCGGAATACTTTCTCCTATTATGTTTTCCTTATTTATAAATTCTATCTCCTCAGTTTTAGATTGTTCGTACCATCTGTATGCGGATGATCTCCAGCTTTATGTACAGTCAAGCTTAAATAATCTTAACTTTGTAATACACAAACTAAATGATAACCTGGAAGCCATAAGAGAATGGTCATGTAAATATGGCGTTTCTGTTAATCCTGCCAAATGCAAAGTTATAATATTCGGAAGTTCGCAATTATTGGCTAAGGTTGATTATGGAAATCTCTCTCCTGTAATTTATAATGGAAGTTTGATTCCATACTGTGATTCCATAAAAAATCTTGGCCTGTACATGGATAAAACTATGACCTGGAAATTGCAGATCTCTGAAGTTAGTCGTAAAGTTGTTGCTACCTTGCGTTCCCTTTATCGTCTTAAAAATTTCCTACCTTTCAAAACCAAACTAACGCTGGTTCATTCCCTTATTCTACCTATTATCGACTATGCCGATGTATGTTACCCAGATCTATCAGAAAATCTTCTAAACAAGTTGGAGCGCCTTCTTAATAATTCCATAAGATTTATTTTTGGTTTACGTAAGTATGACCACATATCATCCTATCGTTCAAAGCTTAAATGGCTACCTATACGTCAAAGGCGATGTTCTAGAATTTTACTTGTACTTTATTCAATTTTAAACGATCCAAGGTCGCCTTCTTATCTTAAGGATAATTTTCATTTTTTTCATCCGATCGACGGTCGAACATCCCGACAGTCAAACCGTCTGAGGTTTCCACAGCATAAGTCAAATTTTTTTAGGTCGTCTTTTACGATACAAGCCATACAACTTTGGAACACCCTCCCCAACGATATTAAGAATGCCACAAATAAAAAGTCTTCAAAGTTTTTCTCCGAGAACATTACCTGAAGGAAACTACTAATTAACAATATTTTCCTTAATTTTTGTCTTTCTTTTCTTCTTTTTTACTTCAGGTATTTATTTCATTATATATTATTCAAACATCATATTACATATATCATTCATTTGTATATTTATTTACGAAGTTTATAAGCATGTATATATATTATATATAAATATATAAATATATATATATATATATATATATATATATATATATATATATATATATATGTATATATATATGTATTATTGTATGTATATTTATACTATATGTGTATATATTTTAATGTAATTATTTACGTATAATGGTCACACCTGCCAACAATTGTCCTTGGCACCCAGGGTTGACTGGCAGAGAATGCCACATGGCATTAAGTCCGCCCTATGTACCCCTTCAGCTTAAGGTGTTACGTTTAAGTTTTTAAATAAATAAATAAATATACCACATATATACCATCATCATCATCATCATTACAGCCCTTCACAAGTCCACTGCTGAACATAGGCCTCCCCCAAGTAACGCCATGCCACCAGCATCCATCGACTTCCTGCATGTCTTACCAGGTCGTCACTTCATCTAGTGGGGGGGTCGCCCTACACTACGCCTACCGGTACGAGGCTGCCACTCGAGAACCTTTCTTCCCCATCGGTTATCGGTTCTTCGAGCTATATGGCCGGCCCATTGTATATGTATATATATATATATGTATATATATATATATATATATATATATATATATATGCCCATATATACCATACCACGTAGAATTTATCAGGGGTATGTTAACATCAAGTATCTAGTAATCTTGTCTTCTTTCGGATATTGACCAAAAGCCCAGGCTTTTGATTAAAATCCAGATATTGTCATAAACCTGCGACATATACATTTAATATTTTCGCAATTAAGAACTAGCCTAAGACTAATACGAAATGCCTCATTGCCAGTAAAAAGGGTCTCTGTTTATACTCAAGATACAAAACACAGCAGTTTTCATCCTCAATAGTTCCGACTTATTTGTGCCGTCCATATAAATAATAGGTCCTTACATATGAAATTGTCGTTGTGTACGAGAGGAATATAAAGTCATTTTTTTTGTAAAATATATTTAATTAATCAAAGTATGCACCGTTGCCAACCAATTCCAATCTATGCACTTTTGCCATCTCATAGGTAGTCCATTGATCCCTTTATTAAAAAAAAAACCATGGGGGCGAGAATCAATAAAACTCTTTGAAGGCGGTTTGGACTGCCGCATCGGAGTCGAATTTTTTTCCTTGTAAGAAGTTGTCCAAATTCCGGCAAAAATGATAATCTGTTGGAGCAAGGTCCGGGGAGTACGATGGATGTCGCAGACATTCCAATTGTAGCTCATCTAACTTAGTGGTTGTTTGTTGTGCAGTGTGTGGTCTTGCGTTGTCGTGAAGCAGCAGTGGCCTAGAGCGATTGACCAATCTCGGTTGTTTAGCAGCTAGTTCTTCCTTCATGGCTTGCAGTTGCTGACAATACATATCTTTCGTAATCGTTTGGCCAGATTTTAGAAAGCTGTAGTGAACGACACCGGCACTAGTCCACCACACACTCACAAGTAACTTTTTATGAGTCAATTTTCGTTTAGGGCAGGATTAGGCTGGGTCTCCAGGGTTCAGCCATTGCGAACCTTGGAGATTTCCGATTATTGTACATTATCCACTTTTCATCACAACTAATGATTCGATTTAAAATCCCTTCATTTTTGTGTTGGTTGAGCAAAGCAACACAGCAGTCAGCGCGTGTATGCAAGTTCGATTCACTCAATTCATGAGGTACCCATCGTTCAAGTGTTTTTACTTTCCCGATTTGCTTCAAGTGGATTAAGACAGTTTTATCACTTACCATGAAGCCTGCAGCTATGTATGAAGTGCTTTGTGATGGATTCGCTTCCACAATAGCCCTTAATTCTTCATTTTCCACTTTGGTCTCCGGCCGTCCACGGGGTTGGTTTTAAAGGTCGAAATTTCCAGAACGAAAACGTTGGAATCAAAAACGTATCGTGCTTTCTTTTGCGACACCAGCGCCGTACACATCATTAATCCTTCGAGCTGTTTCCGCAGCACTAGTGCCACGGTAGAACTCGTTCTCGCAAATATACCGATATTTCATGTTTTCCATTGTGCGGTAATAATCGACGCCTAAGAAAAAAATAATGAGGAAACCAAATGAATGACTGTTTTCAAAACTCAAATGTACGAGCTAAATGAATTTATAAATTTGAATTTGGAATTCTTAACCAGAGGAAATATTTCAAATCAAAGTGGTGAGAACGACAAAACGCTAATTTCATATGTAAGGACCCAATAGTTGCAGCGTGACTCTGCACTATAATTTTTCATTATAAATTAAATGTTATAATAAACTATTTCAGAGGCAAACGGAATGATCACTCTAAAATTAGTGGTTTTAATAACCGTGCTGGCAACAGTGTGTTGCTGGCAGATCAACCGCCGTGCTCCTCCACCAGCGAAGGAGACCCCCACCGAAGACACCAACTTTGTGGAGGTGAAGAAGGTGCCCTGTGATAGTTCCAACAGTTACTGCGGAAGTGTATCCAATTTTAATCAACCGATGGGCGGCGGCGGATTTATAGTTCCCGGATAAAGCACCGATGTTGATTTCGTGAAAATTTGTGTTCGTTGGACTGCTATGTAAAATACTTGACCAGTCATTTAGAGCAAAAAATGTGTCAAAGCTGTGGATCCCTTGGAGCGCGCGAGCGGCTCGCTGGCATGGTAAATATGCCACGCAGGTGTATTTTTATTTACGAAAAAAATATATATTTATCTGAAATAAACTTCAAATAACATTGACAAAGTGCGCACATTTTATATATGTGTATATAGATTTTACTGTATCTTATATTATGTACATACATACATAACATAAACACTCACGTCTGTCACCCAGAGGGGTAGGCTAAGACACCAGACTTCCATGTGGCACCATCCTGACACACTTCTCTAGCCTCCTCCACATTCATATACCTACACATGCTCGTCGGTTAAGGGTACTCCTAATTTGGCCGATTTTCAATATATCGCCAAATTGGTCGATAAACTTTCGCCTAGGACGTCTCTTTTCGACTCTTCCATTCATTGATAGCAGTTACAGTACGCAGTTTAGTATAACTCAATGCTTCCATTCAATTCTGCAACATAAATATCCTTTGTTACTCTTTAGGAGTGACAAAAGTAAAAGTAAAAGTAAAGTTACAGCCTATATACGTCCCACTGCTGGGCTCAGGCCTCCCCTCATTTCTGAGAGGGTTTAGGGCAAGGAGGTGTCCGCCGCGCTGCCCAAATGCGTGTTGACGAACTTCACATGTCTTCGAAAATATTTTTTTTTTCTTATTCCTCAGACATGCAGGTTTCCTCACGATGTTTCCCTTCACCGCCGAGCACGTGGTAAATCAGCACTTAAAATTGCAATTAACAATTTCATTGGTGCCGGCGGGGATCGAACCCGGGTTACTCGCGTTCTGTTATATTTACAGCGAGCGCTAACCACTAAGCTACCACGGCTCTCCTTATATTACATATTAGTAATTTATATTATTTCATGTACTAGATATTTTATGTTATTTTATTGTATGTACGTACTGTCTATACTGGATAACCTTTTTTACCGTCTGGGAAAGATAAGGTGTAACATGTGAACGGAGTAAAAGCTTATGGCACTAATATTATACAAAAAATAAAAACAAAAATTTTGAATAAAACTTTTGAAAAACGTTTTTTGAACAATAACTTTGCCCTTTACCCTTGAGCCATGACCTTGCGAAGTGACAAGGTCAAAGATACCTACTAAATTTATTGTTTATTGCCGTTCGTAAAGTAGGGTAGTATTTGAATTTCGATAGATTTTAATTTATTTATTTATTTTATTCATAATTTTTGTTCTTAAATTTTGTAAAATATCAGTGCCATAGGCTTCTACTCCGTTCACATGTTACACCCTACTTTTTCCAGACGATAAAAAAGACCATTCAGTATATCGCATGTAATTATACAATATTATGTATATTTATATTGCACAACCTAGCACCTAGTTTATATATATATATATATATATATATATATATATCGTTTTTATTTCTTTACACCTTCTGTTGCTTGGAAGAGATGGCTATGTAGATTGTACATATAATGTGCCTGTTGTTGTGTTATTTGTGTACTTGTTTTGTAGTGTCCGTTCATAACTGAAATAATATCATCTATGACACGCTGACTATACAGGGTTATTTTTCAGAGAATTGCTATATTTATTTGAAATTATCCCAAATTTAATGGGATTTGTGGCAACAACGTTTTTGCCTACCGATCGACCCTTACGACCGGCGACGAGGTTCGCCACCCGTCACGTTCTATCTCCCAGAGAGGCGAAAAGTGGATTGCAGAGGCCCGTCTGGCTACGTTGAATGTATGTGCGGCAATGAATGATAAAATGGATGAAGTATGCGATATGATGTATGATAGAGGAATAGATGTGTTATGTGTAAATGAGACTAAAAGGAAGGGGAAGGATGTCACTGCACATGGCATTGTAACGGTCTCCCCCCCTCTCTCATAATAATAAATATATTAGATATAATTAATTTACCCCTTTTCGATAAAAATTATATATATGTGACCAGGAATAATAAATTATGTTTTGATCTTTCTAAATGATCTTTCTAAAGGTTTAATAATAGGCCGTTTGTAATAATTTGGCGTGATCGTCTTAGTTAGGACCCTTATTTACGTTGTGTTTGTTTAGTAACTTAGTTCTTTTAGGTGTCTTTTGGAAGAATGAATATTCACTAGAACAATTGAAAGCTGTTGGTAGTGCCTTATAAGCTAAATGAACCCCGTTCACGAAGACAGGGCTCGAGAAAGGTTAAGAACGTAAAACGTCTTTATTCCACTTGTATCAGGTTGACATTATTAATTTATTATTATTTATCCCTTCCCGCTTGGAAAAGGCTCACAATATATTTATACAAAAATACCCGATACAAGGGCTTCGCTCTCCTACATTTATTTAAAAAAAATGTAGGGGAGGTACACGGCCCCACACACGCCGTGCACGGTGAGTGCCAACCATTTTGATGCACTCCCCCCCGAAGGGAATGCTAATTCGGGAACTGGACCGTAGTCCACAGCAAAATAACTGGCGAACCAGTAAAAGAGGCTTGGCCCCTTGTTAGTGCGTAAGCACAAACATCGACCGAAGTCGCGCATGTCAATGCGTGTAAACGCCATACAGAATACGAACGAATCCAGCCACAGTGAATGTACGTCACACGGTTTAGGCAAATAGGCACACTGGCCGTAAACCCTCCGTGAGCGCCACCACCTGCCAGACCGCCGCTCCTGCAGACGTGATGTAAGTGTATGGCATCATCACCAATTGCATGATCAGCACGGCTACTAGCCGCAGAGCGTGTCATGAGTCTACCGCTCACCTCAAGGGAATGGGGTCCCACGTTGTGCGGCTTTCGGCCGCAGCCTTGAGAGTCTCCTCAGATCCTCCCGCCAGCTACCACCCGCATGAGGTCGACACATATGCTCCACCAACCAATACAACGGCAGATATAGCCAAAAGGCAGTTATAAGATAAGAGTAATAATTCGCCATCAGAAAGGTTTTGTGTCACTGACGTTGAGTAAATGCATTTTCGATCATGTTTGTCTCACCCACCAACAAGTTGCCTTCAATCATTCAAAGGTGGGAAAGTTACAGAGATATAATATTACGTTGTTATATAAAACATCGTGGAGGGCAGACAGTCTGCAGCCCCGCAATGAAGGGACCCGACTTGGGCAAAGCTACTTAGGTGTGAGTCAAACCAAGACGCAGAGAGCGCCATTGAGAATAGCGTCCCACCAAACAACCATCGCAGAGACGCAATGCTGCAGAACGCAACAAGCATCAATACGACTATCGTCGGCTTACAACATTCCAAGGTCCCCCATACATCCCAGCAGACATCACCACCCGTATACCTCCATCGACCAGAACCACAAGAGAGCGTCGAATCAGGCGCAGCACACCCGCAGATCCATCACAAGACGCAATACCGCAAGTAGCAGTAAACATCAATGCAACTATCATACGGATGGCGCCCCCTCACAACACACCCAACATGATCCCTATCGACTTTGGTAACAAAGTTTTTATTGTTGTTATATAAAAAATATCACTGACGTATCATAGTAGCACGCTACTAAAACGCCAATGAACAAAACTCCACATATCATAGCGCTAATGCACTAAGACATGAAGTTGAGTACGCCTGTTACACTTAAAAGTGCTACCAAACACACTCATCATCCCAATCCGAAAGATAGACGACACATCGCTATGCGCAACGACATCGCCCACAAACGGTATGGATCTGCGATGTCCACAGGAAAGCCGTATTGCTACAACAAACCCGCTTACCACCGGCACTAAGATGTTAATTGTATACCTCCATCGACCAGAACCACAGGAATGCGTCGAATCAGGCGCAGCACACCCGCAGTTCCATCACAAGACGCAATACCGCAAGTAGCAGTAAGCATCAAAGCAACTATCATACGGGTGGCGCCCCCTCACAACACACCCACATGACTCCTATCGATTTCGGCAACAAAGTTTTTATTGTTGTTATATAAAAAATATCACCAACGTATCATAGTAGCACACTACTAAGACGCCAGTGGACAAAACTCCACGTATCATAGCGCTAATGCACTAAGACATGAAGTAGAGTATGACTGTTACACTTAAAAGTGCTACCAAACACACTCATCATCCCAATCCGAATGATAGACGACACATCGCTATGCGCAACGACGTCGCCCACAAACGGTATGGGTGTGCGATGTCCACGGGAAAGCCGTATTGCTACAACAAACCCGCTTACCACCGGCACTAAGATGATATGTCTAGGACACATCGGTTAGCGAGTCCAAGTTTACCTCGGACCAGTTGCTCGTGAAGCAGCACACACGCCACCATAATATTCCTTTTCAAGTCCCTAATAAGGACTAGTCATTTTGCTACAGTACTAGGAGCAGTCGGTCACCCGACCACCCCATACAATGCTTATGCATCAAGGAGACCTTCAATAATAATGCTTTTGTATCATAGACCTTACTTTCATAAGTCATTCATATATAGGGTTCGAACCCACAACCCTACTATTGTAATGCATATTAATCATAGAGACCTTCTATAGTATTGCTTTTGTATCATAGACCTTACTTTCATAAGTCATTAATATATAGGGTTCGAACCCACGACCCTACTATTGTAATACAAATTCATCATGGAGACCTTCTATAGTATTGCTTTTGTATCATTGAGTTTAATATCATAAGTCCCTAATATAGGACTAGTCATTGTGCTACAGTACTTCAGGCAGTCGGGCTCCCGACCACCCCATCTATATGTACAACCGCAGGTATGTACCTCCGACAGCTTCCTCCATACAAGACATCTATACGTGAACACCTTCCATAACTTAGGAAAATTTTCTTTAATACATGAACTCCTTCAACAACTTAGGAAATTTCATCTATACGTGAACTCCTTCCACAACTTAGAAAAATTTTCTTTTATACACGAACACCTCCC